AATGTAAAATGAAATGAGCGTATAATATAGATTATATAATATATAATGTTATATAATTTATATTTTAATATATAATGTATAATATCTTGATTGTAATAAAAGTAAATAGAAAAAAATGAAATGATGTTTTCCACTCAACAATGATCATATAGTAATATGTTAGGAATATGTAGTCATGGCCAGGATGTAGTAAGATGGAGGAAAGTCATTTGACAATATGAATTAAAAATTTGTACCATTTCAGTAACTTTCAAGAAATAGAGATTGAGGCAGAGGTTGATATGTAAGGGTGTACGTTTCAGTGTTTCCATGGGTAACGACTAGGTGTTACTGTCTCTGTCTCTGCAGCTCTTGTCTCAGGAGCCCAACAATGGCATATCCTCAGACCCCACTGTGTTCTTAGACCGTCTCGCAGTAATATTTAGGTAAGAAAGGAGGCTCCTGAGGCCTGCCTTGGGTTAAAAGTGTAGATAAGACGATTAGGTATTAAAGTAAACAAGTGTTTTGTTTCGTTTCTCAAACTTCCAACTACTTCCTATAATCTCCTTTGTCAGGAGACTAATTAAGGCCATTACCTGAAGCCCCCAGCTGGGGCAAAGGCAAATTCTCAGAAGTTGTTCTTGGTAGACCTTTGTCAAAAGACCCTTTAAAATGTAATTAATTCTTGGTCTCTAGGTCAGTGATTCTCGAACTTTCACATGCACCATTGTCCCTGTAGGGCTTAATAAAACAGATTGCTGGGTCCCATCCCCAATGTTGGATTGATTAGATCTTGGGCAGGACCCAAGAATTTACATTTCTAGGAAGTTCCCAAGTGATGCCCCTGCTGCTGCTTGCTATTCCAAGGACCACACTTCCAGACACACTGTGTAGTATGTGGGTACAAGAAGATGATGAAGCCTTTTCAGTGACCAGGTGAAATTAATCCTTCTTTGAAGTCGAGAGGAGCCTAATGATTAAAAAAGCATTTGAGTGACAATGTTCAAAGAGTGATCCTGAGTTACATAATTTATAATTTGTGAGACTCACAGGTATAACTGAAATATCAGAGTAATAGTTGCGTAAAAGTCTGTGTTGAATATGTTAAAATAGGCATTGTTTTTTAGCTTATTAGTTCTTGGCTACAGGTATCTTTTTCTGAGTTGGTGCTGTGCTTTCCTTATATAATAAGGAGAGTCCTGTTACATGCGACTCTGAGAGCTTGGTAACAGTAACCCTTAGTTTACAATAAGTGAAAGAAAATCCGCAATAAGTTGGAATGCCCTGATTTAAAGAAAATTAGATTTTTATTAAATTGCTGTTGAGCTTTTTAAAATTAAATAATTTCTTTAAAGAGTTTGGTAATCATACAGTTTTTTTGTTGTTTTTTCTGCTTTCCTTCAAATTAGTGGATACCAAAACTAGACAAATAGTTGGATTTGACATAATGTGGGTGGGCCCATATGTGTATCATTGGGTTCAGATTAGAATCATGAGAACCATCTTTGGCAGACTAGAGTTCCTAAAGCTTTTGACCTCATGCTGGGAGTGGAGCATTACTTGTCATAGTGGAGTCAGACAACCTGTATACATTTTTTATTAATTTGGAAGAGATTACATATTCAGGTTTATAAAGGGAATAAAAAAGAAAAAGATAATTGTAAGTGCCCCACACCCACAGCCCGTGTACATGTTCTAGTGGGAGTGGCTTACAGGGGGCAAAAAAAAATGACAGGATGATTTAAACTGTGCTTGGGTTTGTTTGAATGGAATAGGAGGAAAGGGTGTTGAGTCAAAAAAAAAAATTTACTATCTGGTTTTTTCATTTGGTGAAAATGATACTAAATAAACTAACAGGGACAGGGCTCTGGACCCTAGATGAAATTGCTCTTCTTTCACTAATCTCAGCTATTGTCTTTCCCCAGACATACCAATCCCATTGTGGAAAATGGACAGACTCATCCATGCCAAAAAGTCATACAGGAAGTAAGTACTAGCAGATGCTGATGGAACAAGGCTTTCTTCCTTTTTCCCTACAATGCTGTGGGTAACTGAAGTGAGAAGGTACTTCTGGGTTCAGAGAACGGTTCAGTTTGTTGATATGGTTTATATACCAATGAAAAAGGAAAAGAACCATCCAAATATTTTTGATTTTAGATTTTTTTTTCTAATGTGACATTGGTTAGTAAAATTATATAGGTTTCAAGTGCACAATTCTGTACTACATCATCTATATATTGTGTGTTCACCACATATTTGACTCCCTTTACCCTCTTCTATACCCCCTGCTCCCCCTTACCCTCTGGTAACCATTAAACTGTTATTTGTGTCTATGAGTTTTTGTTCGTTTGTCTTGTTTGTTTGTTGCTTTCAGTTTTATATCCCACATATGAGTGAAGTCATATGGTTCTCGACTTTTTCTCTGGCTTATTTTGCTTAGTATGACAATCTGAAGATCCATCTATATTGTCACAAAAGTTTTTCATCTTTTCTTATGGCTGAGTGATATTCCATTCTATATATGTACCACATCTTTATCCAATCATCTATCAAAGGGCACTTTGGTTTCCAGGTCTTGGCCACTGTGCATAATGCTGCAATGAATACGGAGCTGGGTACATCTATTTTTATTGATAAATGTTTTTCAGATATTTTGGGTAGATACCCAGAAGAGAGATTGCTGGGTCATATGGTAGTTCTGTTCTTATACTGTTTTCCATAGTGGCTGTATGAATTTACATTCCCACCAGCAGTGTATGAGGGTTCTTTTTTCTTCACAGTCTCTCCAGTACTTGTTATTACTTGTTTTGTTGATAATAGCCATTCTAACATGTGTGAGGTGGTATCTTGCTGTGGTTTTGATTTGCATTTCCCTAATACCTAGTGAAGTTGAGCATTTTTTCATATATTTGTTGGCTGTTTCTTTGTCTTCTTGGAAAAAGTGTCTGTTCAGGTCCTGTGTGCATTTTTTAGTTGGATTTTTTTGTTGTTGTTGAGTTGTATGAGTTCTTGATACATTTTGGATATTATCCCCTTATCAGTGATGTTGTTTGCAAATACCTTCTCCCATTCGGTTGGGTGCCTCTTTGTTGATGGTTTCTTTTGCTGTGCAGAAGCTTTTTAGTTTGATATAGTCCCATTCATTTAGTTTTGCTTTTCTTCCCTTGCCTTTGAGGTCATAATTCATAAAAATGATTTTAGATTTTATAAGAAAACAGGCTGTGGGGAAATGCATTAAAAGAAGAGGAGAGAGATTAACTGGGTGAGTTGCTAGGAAGCCTGATCAATACTAGCAAAAGATTTTTGACAAAGTCAGTTAACCTTCATGGCTTTAGTTTTCCCATTGATAACGTACTTCCCTTATGCTTTTTTCACTTAGGGTAAGGTGAGGATCAAAGGGCATGTTTTGAGAAGTGCTTTTCAAATTCAGGGGAGAAACACCAAATATCCTTAAGTGTTCAACGATATCAAATAATGCCATTTCCTTAACTCTAGTCCTTTTGTTCAAGGTCTTCCAACTTCTTGGAACTGTCTTTAAACATCTCTTCCTATAAAACTCTTATGATTCTTTCCATTGTAACTCAGAAAGTTAAAAGTTTAGGAAAATGTGTATCTGTCTCTCAGTAAAGGTAGACATGCTCCTCTTCCCTGTGCTAAAGATGCACCATGCTTCTCTTCAGAAGTGGTTGTGTTTTGGTGATGGATAAGGTACTGAACCTCTCTGCACATATACACACACTCAGCAGCCAGAATCAGGCCATGTGTGTTCCTATAAAGAAAACTTTTTCCAAGTTATTTAAAAGGCAAATCAAATGTTACCAACTTG